AGAGAGAGAGAGAGAGAGAGAGAGAGAGAGAGAAATTATCTATATTTTTGAATTATTTGATTAAAAAATATGAAATACACCATAACTTTAGCGTTAATATTAAACAGGTTTGACATTAATATTGGCGGCAATATGTCCGCCATCTATTACAAAATTGGTGCCGGTGATAAAGCTACCCTCATCACTGGCCAGATAAGCCACGGCATTGGCCACATCCACGCCTTCGCCCACCCGTCCCACCGGATAGTCGGCCGCGAATTTATTAATCAGATCTCTGCCCTCGGCTTCAGTCACGCCAAAGCTATTTTGCATGACATCCGTGTAAACAGCGCCCGGACTATAGTAGAGTCAAATATAATAATTATATTATTGACAATATTAATTATATTATTCAATTATTGACACATGATTATTTGATTTATATACAGCAAACTGTATTTTATTTTTGGTCTTTCGGTACTAAAATTATGTTTTCTTATTGTAAATAATGTGATTTAAAACTGTGGTTATTCTGGTTTTATATAAACTTTACTAATATAAATTAAAAATTTAATTATGATAATACAGTCTATCCCGGTTATAAGCTAATCGATCGGTGCATTTAATATTATTCTCTTATTACCGGGTTTACCTTATACCCGGGTTTATATTAATTGACATTTTACCACAAAAAACAATTACTTTTGATATACAATACAGTAATTAACTCAATCACAAAAAACACTAATTTATACGACAATACAATGTTAAAAATATGAATTTTAATACGTTTTTACATTAATACCTCTGTTTTTAGGGATAAAATACAAATAATTGCATCAATGTTTAAAACACATGACTTGAAATACAGTTTTTACTATAAAAATGCTTATATGTGGGTCTACTTAACATTATGCGTGCATAACTTATTGTCTCTTATAACCGGGATTCGCTTATTAGTGATTAGCTTATTAGTGGGTTTTATAACATTAAAGGTCCATAGGAGCTGCCGGTGCAGCAAAAATATCAGCCTATTACCGGGTTTAGCTTATATCCCGTTAGCCTATAGCCGGGATAGACTGTATAAGCAAATGAACACATGATACATGATTATTTGATTTATGTACAGTAAATTGTATTATATTTTCTCATAATCTGTGATGGGATTTTTGCTATTTTAAAAATATACAAATACATTATATTTAACTGATTATAAACAGTAATTTCTTATTGTATAAGTTAGAAATTTAATTATGCTCATAAAACCAAATGTACACATGATCAAAATAATACTTACTTAAGTGAATTTACGCGTATGCCTTTGGGGCCCAACTCGACGGCCAGGCATTTCGTAAACATGTCGAGCGCACACTTTGTCATAGCGTAGGCCGACATATTTAGTCCCTGGTGAATTCAATAAAAATATCATTATAAATGTTGGCAAGGGAAATATAATTCATTTGTATCATTATTTAATACATACCCCTAATTTACTAAAAACGCTCGAAATATTAATAACGGATCCTTTGGTTTTTGTCAAATAGTCAACTGATTTATGGGTTAAATAGACGGCCGATAAGAGGTTTGTGGACATAATATGCGAGTAGTGTTGCATATAATTATCGCTAGTTATGGGACACAACTGCCAATAACCGACATTATTGACCAAAATATCCAATTTCCCAAACCTTTGTACAGTAGTGACCAGAAGTCGGTCGAGATCTGCCTCTTTGGTCACGTCGGCCACCACTAAAACCGCTTTCAGACACGTCGGCGAAAATGCTGTACACTGTTTGACCACATTCTCCAGTTTGTCGACATTACGTCCAGTGATCACCACTTGGGCACCCATTTTGGCCAATAGTATAGCTGTGGCGGCCCCGATACCCGAACTCGACCCCGTTATCAGGGCCACCCGTCCCGTGAAATCGTACTTTGACATTTTTAAAAATGTTATTTTAATTAAGTTATAACAGTCTGTATAAAAGTAGTTTAATTAATTTAATTAAAAAATTTAATTAAGTTCTACTAGTTGGCTGATGTCATCAATTTTAATTATTATGCTTATTTTAAAGGAATAATTCTACTATAATACAGACTATTAGATTGTAGAAAGTAATTGCTCTTTTAATTGTATATAATTTAATTTTTTAATTCTCTAATAATGTTTATGTTTAAATTTTATTAATTAAAATAAATTAAAAGTAAAATTAAATATGTTAACTGTTTATGCTTTAAAGTTATCATAACAGAAAGTTTGTGAATTAATTTATCCATGGATAATGAACACTTGCGAAAAACAAGCTACAAATTTGTTTGATAAATGGCCCATGTTATTTGCATATGCGTCTAGTTATCTGGCCTTGTCTAGCAATTTATATATTATTTTATTTTTCCGTAAAATATTATGAAAATAGTATATTAATTCATACCCTATTTTGCGAGTTTAATAACGTTATATTTTTTATATTATTTTGCGTGATAATAATTAAAATAGTAGCATGTTAATAATGATAATTTTAGCGAGAGAGCAGAATAAATAATAAAATATAGCATTAATATTAAACACCTTTGACATTAATATTGGCGGCAATGTGTCCGCCATCTATCACGAAATTGGTGCCGGTGATAAAGCTACCCTCATTGCTGGCCAGATAGGCCACGGCATTGGCCACATCCACGCCTTCGCCCACCCGTCCCACCGGATAATCGGCCGCGAATTTATCAAATAAATCTCTGCCCTCGGCTTCAGTCATGCCAAAGCTATTCTGCATGGCATCCGTGTAAACAGCGCCCGGACTATAATAGAGTCAAATATAAATGGTACATGATTATTTGATTTATTGTAAATATTGCAAATTGTATTGTATTTTTTTGGTCACTCGGTATTAAACTTATGTTTTTTATTGTAAATAACGTGATCAAATTATGCTGGCTTAAATTATATAAATTATATACAAATATAAGTTAGAAATTTAATTATAATCATAAAACCGAATGAACACATGATCAAAATAATACTTACTTGAGTGAATTAACACGTATGCCTTTGGGGCCCAACTCGACGGCCAGGCATTTAGTAAACATGTCGAGCGCAGACTTTGTCATAGCGTAGGCCGACATATTTAGTCCCTGGTCAATTAAATAAAAATATTATTATAAATGTTGGCAATGTCAATTAACATATAATTAATTAGCATCATCATTTAAAACATACCCCTAATTTACTAAAAACACTCGACATATTAATTACGGATCCTTTAGTTTTTATCAAATAGTCAACTGATTTATGGGTTAAATAGACGGCCGATAAGAGGTTTGTGGACATAATATGCGAGAAGTGTTGCATATAATCATCGCTAGTTATGGGACACAACTGCCAATAGCCGACATTATTGACCAAAATATCCAGTTTCCCAAAACTCTGTACAGTAGTGGCCAGAAGTCGGTCGAGATCTGCCTCTTTAGTTACGTCGGCCACCACTGGAACCGCTTTCAGACCCGTCGGCGACACTTCTGCACACTGTTTGACCACATTCTCCAGTTTATTGACATTACGTCCGGTGATCACCACTTGTGCACCCATTTTGGCCAATAGTATAGCTGTGGCGGCGCCGATACCCGAACTCGACCCCGTTATCAGGGCTACTCGTCCCGTGAAATCGTACTTTGACATTTTATTTAAAATGTTAATTTAATTAAGTACTACTAGTTAGCTAATGTCAGCAAATTTAATTATTATGCCTATTTATAACGATCGATTCTACTTTTATACAGACTGCTAGATTATACAATGTTGGTGTAAATGCTCTGTTAATTGTATTTAATTTTTTAATTCTCTGATACTGTTCATGCTCAAATTTAATTAATTAAAACAAATTAAAAGAAAATAAATATGTTAGTTTTTAATGTTTAAAGTTAACATAAAATTTTTTTATGAATTAATTGCGAATATGCAAAACACATTTTGTTTGATAATTAACCCAGGTTATTTACATCGCGTTATCTGGCCCCGTCTGGGAAGTTATATATTTTTACTTTTTCGTAAAGTCTTTTAAAAATAGTATATTATTTTTAATCTTCTTGAATTAATGAATTAACGTTATGTTATATAACTAATCTACAGTTTTAAAAACATATTATTGTTAATAGGTTAACAAACCTCGGGATTGGCTTTTAATTTAAATAATATTTATTTTTGGGTATTTAATTATTATTTGATATTGAAATATATATTTTAATGAGTATTTGTTTAATAATGAAAATTAATTTTGATTTTAATAATATTTAAATACTTAAGGCCTTAGAATATTATGTTTTTTCTAATTAATTCTTCTTCTTATTCATAAAAAATCAACTTTAACTTTAACCAGGTTTAATTGTATTTTGTTATATAATTAAGCAAATGTTACTTTATCTATTGGCTTTAGGTTTGATACCTGTCTCAAAATTTTATACAATTTTTAAAGTTTTTATTTTAACATTGTGTGAGAGTTACATAACATTATGCATACTTTGATTGTACATTACATTAATTAGTTTTTTTCAGTTAGTAACATGCTCTATTACTGGTGACATCTTCATTAGTAACTTGCAAATTTTGCAGGCATTAAATCAGTATACCATAGGTTACATGGGTTTAGACTCGGGGTACAATAGTACAACCAGGGTGATTTATAAATCCTTATTATTTATTAATAATCAATATAAATACAAACAAATACTCAATTATTAATATAAAAATAACTTTTTAAGTAAGTAAAGTATATTTCTTATCTAGAGTTAAAATACTACAAAACTCTTACACCAATATAAGTGTATTTATATGATATACACGTGTAAATGAGAATAACCTACAGGTGCTCTATCCCTCCCACTCTTTGTCATCGGTTTGTCAGTACAAAAATCATAAGTAAAAACACCATAAAAATCACTACTAATAATCACTTATTATCTGATTATTAAAACTTAAAATATCAAATAGTTTAGGAAAAACACAAAGCAATTGGAAAAATACAGTTATTAAATCTTGATTAAAATCACCTGTGCCACTATAATTAACAACACTATTGAATTATCATTATCACATTTTAATCAGTTATAACATCCCTATACATTTATGTTATTAAAACTATTTTTATTGAAACAATCTTTATAAAAGTACTGTTCATTTTAATTGCTATTATGAGACACTTTTTTAACATAACTTGCTATGAGATACATGTAATAAATTAATATTTAGTTAACAGACAAATACATATAAGGTAATAATATTTATCATTTGTTATAATTAAATTTAATGATTTTTCTTGCTTTTAAATTGTAAATAAGTTTGTATTGTAATAAAGGGGTTGTGATTGTCAGGAATAATGTACTATTAAATGAACTTAATGCATTTTTTTTGGAAAAATCCATCATTGTAAACAAATAAAATTGTAACAAAAATACTTTTACATAGACAAACAATTTAAGTAATTACAAACGTCAAAGTGTGTTTAAGTACCTCGACACTTTGTGTTCCCTGGTATATAAATGAAAAGTTTTTTGGCATAGACAATATTTTAATTACATGCTACCTGTATGGTGTGTTAACCAGAATCTACTTATTTAATCTTATGCATAATTAAATGTGCTAAATAATATGTAATTATTGTATTTACTGCATATTTTATATGAATGTTCATTTATAAAGTTTTAATTAAATATATTTCGATCAAGTTTAAACGCAAAGCATATTCGAAATGTAAGTACAGTATTACTATATTTAATTTTTAGTTTACAAAGCTTTAAAACTAGTTATTTTGTATTTATAAGTTTTATAAATTTAATTATTTATAACTTATAAACTCTTTTCAATTCAATGTGTTTATTGCTTTTATTAAAAACACTTTTATATTATAAAATAAATACTTTTTAAAAATATTTTAACCATTAATTTACTAACTACATAATTTATTATGCATTATATTATTTCACAATGATTGTATAAATTGTGCAACAACAATTGAGCAATTTAATAAACAAATATAAATAAATTACAAAAATTCAATAGTAGTTAAATAAGTTACAGTATTTGTATTTCACAAAACATTTATTCAATAAATAGTTATTTATAATTAATGATTAAAAAGGATTATTAAAAATTTTTATTCAATTAAATAAATATTTATTCACTAAACTATATCTAATAGAAAACTTTTCAAATAATGGATAACCAAAACGCCAACAATAAAAACATCATTAATAACAGCAATCATTACAATAACAACATCTACATGAATACCGGGGCCGAGACTACCGGTGCCAGTGATGGCAAAACGCATTACTTGTCAAATAATCACTTGAGTCCGGACTATAACGGCACCGGAGGGCAGACGCACTTACGTAGGCGTAGCTCAGCATATCTGGACAGACAACAGTTGGACAGTTGCCGTCGATTGTCCGCAGTTTCCGGTCATTCAATAGCGATGGCAATGGATATTAAGCGCAAAAGTCATATGGAGGGCGAGGGACACAGGGAAGGGGACAGTATAGATGTGCCCGAACACGAGCAAATGAGTTTTACCATGAAATGTGTCTACACCTCGATCATGATGCTAATTCATCACAATTTTGTAAGTTATATAGTTTTTTCTTATCTGAGATTGATACACTAAAGCTATAATTATTTAACTCAAAATCACCCAGGGCCTCAGTGTGTCTGGATTCGCGCCCTCGTACGTCGACTGGACGGTTATGTTGCGGACAAACATGACATACATCGGACTCATACCGATATTCCAGGCTATTGGCGGTATATGCGGCTCCATATGTAAGTATCAATCAATAACTCATCAAAACCTAAATTAGAATTTCTGTAAAAACTTATAAAACTCATAGACCTAGTAAAAAACAAACATTATAAACTAATTAAATGTGTATAACATGTTTCCAGGTGGAACCTTGTACAAATGGCTACCGCGGCAACTAGTGCTATTGTTCGTGGTCATATTAATGGCAATGGCCACCATATTCATGCCCTACTCGACCGAGATCTGGCACCTGTACATATGTATATTTTTCTACGGCTGTGGTGTCGGCGCGTGGAATAACTCAAACAACGTGTGGCTCATTGAGATGTGGCAAAAACGGAGTCCGACCATGTTGCTACTGTCGCAGGGCATATACGGTGTGGGCACTATTCTGGGCCCGATGGTGGTCAAGCCATACCTGTCCGGTATATCGCAGAGCGATAAGCCCACCGGCGACAACATGAATGACACAATGGCCGCGTTGTTGGCCAGTCAGGTGTCCGACAAACTTAAGACACCTTTTTTGATCACCGGCTGTATTGAAGTGATTGGTATGTGTATTATTTTAATGAATTCTAGCTAGTTAATTTAAAAGCCACATATTAAGCATTCACTATTTATTTGCACTTATTCTGGATTATTAATTTGATTATTTTACATTTTTTATAATTTTTATAAATATTAAGTTTACCATGATTATATTTTTCAGGGCCCATCATAATGTTTATTCTATTCTTTATCAAACCCTACAAATTCACGTCATTAACCAAAAGGGAGGACGAGATGGCGGTGACTGAGGCCGATAAGGCACGCCTGGAGGAGGAGCGCCGAGTAATACCCAAAAAGACCCTCATCGTATGTACCGCCATATTCTTTGCCACCGGATTTATGACCGAGAACATGTACGTGGACTTTGCACCTAGCTACTTCCAATTTGTGCCCAACCTGAGACTGTCGGCCCAGACGGCCGCTGACATAGCCAGCACAATGGCCATAGCGCTGGCCGGCGGCCGCTTTTTATGCATACTATTGGCCATGAAGTTACGGCCCCAGTATATGATATTTATCCATGTTTGTATTATATGGGTCGGTGTGTTGGTCCAGTATTTTGGCCAAGATATTCTCGGGGTGCTATGGTTTAGCGCAGCCCTGATTTGTTACGGCTATTCGTGTATTTATGTAACCCTTTATGCGTTTGTCAATCAGTATTTTGAGATGACTGACGCCGTGGGTACTATATTTATCATGTGCTATAACTCGTTGTATTTGTTTTTGCCGTATATTATTGGCGATAATATTGAACAAACACCCGATATTTTTAATTATTTGATGTTTGCCTGCGTTTCCATATCTATCGTTGACTTTGCCTTTATTTTGTTTAAAATCCGTAATATTCCCAAACATTTGATTAGACTGTAAGGGTTGGCACAAACTTAGTGGTAATTTTGTTTGTATTGTTTAGATATTATTCATTGTATTTGTTATATATTTAATACAGTAAAATATAGTTATATTGTAATTTTGTTATTTAATTGAGATTTGTGTGAATTATGTAAAGGTTGTTTTTAATGTGTGTTTGTGTTTAATTCACATTAATAAATATAATATTTAATTCATGTGTTTTATAATTTATAAAGTATAAATTGATTAAACAATAATAACTTTTGCTAGCATGCAGAATTAAGATTAAGTTTAATTAATAAAGAAAAGGTATATGACATAATTTGTATATTTATGATAATAAAAAATATAATTTTGCTCATGCTAATATGCATAGTTATTTTTCTACATTTTTAATGCCATGAATTTAGTGATTGTGTTTATTTTATTCAATTATATCAACATTTAATTATTGATTTACAGTTCATATGTAATAATTAGCCATAATGGTTTTAATAATAAATTATTATTAATCGTACACTAATTGCACAAGGTGCCGTTACTGTGTACCCGGATACAGACCACTTATTATAATTACCCGTTAAATAAATGCAATGTACGTATAATATTAGTAGATGACCGTGAATAAATGTTAATTAATAAACTTTTTAATATTTTATTTTAAATATTTAAAAATAGTATGCATAAAACTGTGTTAATAAATTACATAATTAGTAAACTTTAACTATAAAACTAATAAATCGCAGTTTATTTTAATATAATAAATACATGTATATTTTGGACACAGCTTGTTAATTATAACTTTCACTAATTAATATCCATAGAATAACATAGAGACAAGCATTTTATTTTTTATTAATATTAAATTTAATTAAGAAATATATGCCATAATTAATTTGTATATAAATAAAAAGTATGTCTGTTTATTCAATAAATAATTACTAAATAATTGACATTTATTTAGTGCATTATAATCAAGGAATTAAACCGTAATAATAACTCTATGGTTAAATTTTGTCACTAAAAAGATAATTAATACCTAAAAGTTGTCAATTCGTGTAAAATACATGAAATTTTTAACTTGTTTTCCCCATAAATTACATTAATTATTTTATTACAAGGAAAAGTGTGTTTATAATAAAGTAAGGTAAGAAATATTTTACGCACTTTAAAACTAGCAATATTTATTATATTTATTGAATCTATGTAAATATCACAGCTACCAACATTAAAACATGGATCCCACAATTAATTGGATTATATCTGTTGTGTTTTGTTTTGTGGTTTATTTGTATTTTTTCTACAACTACTATGTGTTGCTTACCATGTATTTTGTGTTATTGGGTATGGCTATAGTCTATGTGTCGGATAAACCGGAATTTTTTCGCGCTTTANTTATTTGTATTTTTTCTACAACTACTATGTGTTGCTTACCATGTATTTTGTGTTATTGGGTATGGCTATAGTCTATGTGTCGGATAAACCGGAATTTTTTCGCGCTTTAACAAGTAAGTTTTATATTTTTATATTGATTTATATAATATGTTAGTTTATTTTATAATTTTTCCGTTTATTCAATTGTTTAATTAAATATCCATATTTTAGTTTGTAATGTAATATCTTACCATGTTTTATTATTTTACTCATAGCAATGTGTTCAGCACAAAGCCTTGATGATGATTTGCATTAATAATGGTACTTTCCGATTGACAAATATTAATAATATATATTAAGTTATGCTATAATTATATAATTTATAATTGTATTTTATAAAATAAAATGCGTTTAGATATTTTACATTAATGAGTTTATAAAGCAATGTTTGTAAAACTTTTTATTATTTCTATAAATATTTTTTTGTTGAATATACAGCTTATATTATAAATAAAATATAATAATTTATATGAAAACATTTAATTATCTCAAGATATAATGCTATAACACAATGCACTACATAATAATGTTTTAATAAATAAATAAATATTAGAATATGTATAATGGAATTCTCAAATAAATAAATATAAATTATTTTTAAAAACATATACTTATAAATGTCTAATTTAATGTTTTTTAAATGCATTATTGTATTACATTTTCTGTATGAAACTAACAGACAGGTAAATCAATAAAAATCTACATTTAGTGCAAAAATGCAATATTTTTAGTACTTTGGCAAAAAAGTAGAAGTTTTAAACATGATTAAGACTCAGCTGAAATCTAGTACATTTTATTTTAAAATTATAACCAAATTACTATGTATTATGGGATTTATATATCAATCATACAGAATAAGCTCAATCTATTTTGCGTACAATTCAAAAGTTATATATACTGTATATCGGTCGCACTATGACTGTATATCGCAGTGTATTTATGATAAATACATAAACGAGACGGGTCGACATTCGTATAATTACCTAGTCTACGATCGCAATAGTAGCCGCACATTTGATAAAGTGGCTAGTGACAAGTTGAAGACCTACTAGCGATGCGTTGGCCGACGGACCGCCGGCAGACTTAAGTAAGTAAAAGCTATCACCCGCTCCACAGCACTCGACTAAAGCCGTGATAAACCCTCCCTATAATAAACACTTTTGTCGTGCAACTGGCCGTTCATTATAGAGAAGTTGCACTGTAATAACTCATTTATTATTGACAGCATTTACAAAATAATGTTGCTTAACAGTTACTCAAAGGGTATATAATCAAGTACATTTTACTTACAAGTTAGTGAGCACATATTTGAGTTAATATAAAGTACAATATAAATTATAATTAATAACTATTAATTGAAATAAATAATATATTATGAAATAAATTTTAAATAATAGGTTTAAAATATACAAAATTCCATTAATTAACATGCACTATTTTTATTTCATAGACGATGCTAGAATTATGCAATAATAATTAAAGTTCATTCATGATAAATCAAGTATATATTAAATATATTGCTTTCTACCTCTGGTGGTGGGCTTCTCTCTCACACACACATACATCCATACATACATTCATTGTATTGCATTGTGTGATGCAATGTTCATACGAACAGAGTGGGTTATGATAGGCTAATCTGATTGAGCGCGCCAGTTTTAAATGGCTGAATGAACTCGTTAATAATAAAATAAATAAAATTCAAAAAACAACATTGCACAGCATTTATCCAAGGGTATATGTTTTCTATAGTCACAAAGTTCATCATATGAATGGCTCATTCACATACAAACTTATCTCGTATACCGTATGCATAGTACAAGCATAAGCAGTAACACAGATAAATTTGTATGTAAATGAGGCATTCATATGTTATATAAACGCAATACTATTTATTAACTGCATTCGTTTAACTGTAAATAACTTTTAACTGGATCAATCGATTTTGATTCTTTGCTTAAATAAACTAAATATCCCCGAAAATTACATCAGTAATTGGTTTTAACATAACCTAAAATTTACCAAGATTAATAGCAAGAATAAAATGTACACAACCTCATTAAACAAATGCATTTCGGAAAATTTACGACGTAAATAACATTATGTCTATATGACAAATGAGATCATGCACTCTATGACTATACAAAAGATATAATAAAGTACCTATCAGTAAATAATATCATAATGTGTTTTATTGAATAAATAAATAAATAATTTTTAATCAAGCAAAATGTTTGATGTGACCAACTATATTTATTACACACTGCTTATTGTAGTATTGATACAAACTAGTTTGAATTTTGAATACTAACATGTTACGACTAAGTTTCCATAGAAAACCACTGAATATTAGAATATGTATATTTATTTCAATATTTATTTCAAATATGGTATTCATACCTTTGTACACGTACAGAGCGGCGATCTCTGCGATAAAATGCCATTTATAATAATGTTGAAACAAAATAATCACATCAAACGTGGTATAAAAATAGCAGATAGCGACCAATGGAGTGAATTAATGGCTAACAAAGTGGCAATTTATTCGGCATTTCTGACCGAACAATCGGTTGTGAGAATCACATCACTGGTGGCCACCGATAGCCTAAACACACTTCACATTGACGATGCGTATATTTCCAATGTCCGACTCCGATTTTAATTTAATTGCGTTATTCAGAGAGTTTCGGGCATATAAAACACATCTATGTACTTTTTAAACGATGGCATTCACTTTGGGAGGCATGAGAGGGGGTCATATATTTCATGTTTCTCATGGGTATGGAAATAAGGTAGTCAGTTTATATATACCTCTGTGGCCAAGTGGTTAGAGTGTCCGGCTACTAATCTGAATTGCCCAGGTTCGAGACGCCCTTGAACCGTGTTTTATTTGTAACTTTTTGACATTTTAATTTGTGTAATTTTTATTAATAAAAACATATTTACAAATTCACTTTTTTTAAATAAAAATTCATTAATTATTTTATAACTATATTACTATTTCAAATCATAGACCAGTAATGACATAAAAATGTAAAAAAAGTTATAAATAAAACATGGGTAAAGGGCGTCTCGAACCTGGGCAATTCAGATTAGTAGCCGGACACTCTAACCACTCGGCCACAGAGGTATATATAAACTGACTACCTTATTTCCATACCCATGAGAAACATGAAATATATGACCCCCTCTCATGCCTCCCAAAGTGAATGCCATCGCTTAAAAAGTACATAGATGTGTTTTATATGCCCGAAAC